AAGCGACACGCAACGGAGAAAAATTTGAACATGGGATACGTTAAACTATTTTTTCGTACATAATCGGTTATCCGAACAACCCCAGTCCCCAATTGATTCGGATAATCGACGCTCTACTGTATTAGATTATGGTGCAAAAGTAAACCATCTGTTGAAGTTACACCCAAGCAACCCTTACAGAGTAGTCTAATTGTATATTCTGCATCAGATTTTACACACTGATTTTTAGTATTCCGATCACGTTGTCGAGGACAGAATTTAAACCGGTCTTTCTTTGGCGGTAGTCGCTTTAAGTTTAAACTTTAAAGTATCATTTCTTCACTTTTTTTTGCTGATTTTTGGGGTTCCGGTTAACTGTATTTTCGTGTAATAAAAATAAAATCAATACGTTAAATTTTAATTATTGAATTTACGTAAAAATTGTCAAAATTAATTATTTGCTTACAATCCAATCAACAACAATACATCTTGTAATCAAGTTGCCATCTTTCTTAGCTTAGTGGAAATAAAAATGGATTCCGTTCTTCTTAATTCTTCAGAAAACGAAAAATTAACAGTTTCGTTATCAAAACTGTTTAATTCCAGTAATATATTAAATGAATTTATCGAAAAGTTTCCAATTTGTAAATATTACATCATTTTTTACTTAATGATTTTTGCAATAATGGCCATAATCTTCTCGAAGTAAGTTTAAAATATCAATTTTTAAATGTTAACTACGAAAAAATTAACTGCAATATCATTTAATACGTGTTTCAAAATAATGCATTAATGTACTCACATATGTTTTCGTTGTATCTTAACGCTTTATAAAATTATATTTTATATAAATATGTTTATGGAAATTTAATTTATTTTTATGTCTTTTATAGATTTATAAAAAAGAAAGATACAAAAATATTATTTATACAAAACAGATTCGAACTGTATATATACGGCAAAGAATATAGCATGACGATGTTTCAACAATTTGGCCCAGATTTTACAAGAAGATTCTTAAATATAATAAATGTTTGTTCCATTCACGATTTCGCTTGCGAACAAAATAATTATGACCTACAATTTATTTGCTGGAAACTTTTCGATGAATACTGGAAAGGTATATTTCAGATGAAGGATTTTCTTTACTGTAAAGAAACAACAATCACTAGCTTAATCTCTCGTGCTATATACAGTACGTTGGACGAATTAAATTTGTTTTATGCCGTTGACGATTGGATTAATGCGAAAATCACAACAGAGAAACACTTGGTAAAAGACATAAACACTATTCGACAACGAAGAAAAGAACTCATGCGGCCATTTCTACCGAAACTCAGATTGTTGGCAATTGCGAAAGACGATATGCAGAATATGTTTGATATGTTAGCGCTTCTATTAACAGAACACGAAATGCGAGCGATTCGTGATTTCTTCTCCAGCCAGGATTATCCTAATGCAGATTTATCCGATTTTCCCGAAACTCTTTGTAATAATACGCTACAAAGAAATATGGAGACGTACGACTCTTTGTTTGAATATAATAATAAAAGCAAGTCTCCAATAGGAAAAGAAATTTATGTTACCAGAAATACACAGTTCGCTTGCAATATCTTTGTAAAAGAAGATTGTTTCCTGGCTGATATTTTATTACCTGTGTATTTCAGCCATACTAAAACAATAACTATGAATTTGAACATCAGTAAAAATGGAGAAGAAAATTCTGTACAGTCGTGTCAATTTGAATGCAATAATATTGGAGAAGCGAATTTATCTCTACCGCCCTTTCTAAAAAAGAATTCGGTGTATCACCTGTCATCTAAGTTTTCCGAAGACGAAGAAATGGATATTCGCATTTCCCCTAATGCATATTCCTTTATAACTGATGAAGAGAAGTCGGATAAATCAAAGAAAGAGAAAAACGAAAAAGATGCTAACAATTTTTATTTCGAAGTTTATCTTTATTTTTAAAACCAACTCGTATAAACCATATTTGGTACACTAATCAAAATTCCTTATAAAATTTTCATTTGAAAACTAAATTTTTGTAAAGGGAGAACAAATATTGATTTATTAAATGTGTCGCATAAATTACAAATTCATTCAAAGAACGTAAATTAATAAATAAATTTATTTGGTATTGTTTTAAATCTGAATCAATAAGAATCCATCCCGATATGTCTTGATTGATATTCCTTGATTACACCAGTGTGAGATTATAAAGTTTATGAGTGTTTTAATGGGGCCGCGAAAACAAATTGTGATACAAAGATTTACCTTAAGAAAAAAACAAAACAATAGTAGTTTAATTAATATGCCAAAGCGTACAAAAGTTCTCGCGAGACCCAACCTATCAGCCACTTTCTGTCAGACAATACTTGACTTTGCAAGTGCACTGACATCTGCTTGCATGCACAATTAAAACTAATTACAATAAAGCTATAGGACCTAATTCTAGTAATTAAGAACAATACAAATAATAATAAGCACTACACAACGAATTATATAATTACAAAATTAAGGAGGCAAGACAAGAAAAAAAATATCTTGTAAGTGTGTGTTACCTTCACTTTACCTTTTGTTGCATAATCAAAATGAATTACGTTATACAGTTTTGTCACCAAATGAGAAAAGTACATTAGTAACAAGAATTTATTCGAGGAAACCTTTCAATGCCATAATAGAGAAAGTCAGAGACAGCTTATCTACACCAGAAGAGCTACAAAGACTTCACCAGAAGGTTCTACATAATATTGAGAGTAGTTTCCAATTGTCATCAAATCCTGTAAGACATACAAATGTTTTAATAAGTGTAGACACCTGGGTGAATGAAATGAAAGATAGCATTGATGATTATGTGTTGTTTTATAAACCACAAGGTAAGAAATGTGAAGAATATCTTCTTTTAATAGAATCTGACTTTGCTCTAGCTATTATGAATGATGGTCGGGCTTTTATGTTAGAAAAATATGGAAATGATGCTATGTGTATTGAGGAAACCCATGGTCTTAATGCTTGTTATTTTGAATTAACATCACTGATAATAATTGATAATATGAGAAAACATTTTCCTTGTGTTTTTTTTATTTAGTAACAGAACTAACAGGGAAATATTACAGATGTTTTTTCCAAGATTAAAGAACGAGTATGCTCCTCGTCACAAAACATTTATGTCAGATATAGGTGCATGTTATGGGGAAACCTGCTCAAAGGTTATATTGTTCGTGGCATATCGACCGTGCATGCTAAAGAGAAAAAGACCGAAGTGTATAAAATCACACGATCACTGATGCAAGAAACAGATGAAGAAACATTTAAATTAATTTCAGAAGCAGCGGTGATAAAGTAGGTTGATGATTTGGAGTTGAAAAAGAAAAATCTGCAATGCCGCCTAGATCATATTGAAAAGCTAGTTGAAAAATTTTCAATTTGAAGGTTTAGAGAGACTGTCAAAACCAATAGAGCTCATATTAGAAGCAATTCGAAACAAATATAAACAAAAATAATTTTAATGGAACAAAAAAAAAACATCGAGCCTCAACGAGGATTTACTGGTTAATTTAAAATTTATTTAGAACTATTAATTATTACAAATTCAGCAACGTGTTGAGCTGCAGTAAACATTTATGAATCACCTCGTACATTGTTTTAAATGACTTTTACATTAATTAAATAAGAAAACAATAAAATTATGAAATGGTCATAATACCCAAGGATATTTACAGTAGCAAGATATATACAATTATATACAAGGTGGATATTATGAGAGAATGGTATACATAACAAGAGCAAACATACAAAAATGTTAAATCGTATCTTCATACTGACGTGAGTATAGACAATTTTATGTAAGTTACAAATAAACCATTTACAGTATTAATATTTAGATTGGAACTTAAACGTTTTGCCAGGAGATAAAGGTATTCAAAATTTTGTCTACCCAGTGCCAAGGTTACTTAGCGATTGGTACTCAAAATAGATGTGAAAGATACTCTCATTGTGATCACAGTCATTATTGATTATGGTAGTAAGAATTTCTTTCCATTTTTTGTATTTACTGGAGTTGTCGAGAAGGAAGGAGAAATTATCATGATTCTTTGTAATACGTTTAACAATAGGACCTGATATATAATAGGCGATGAGAGCAAGAGGATGGTTCCGGTTTTTTATAGCATTAACCATATTAGCCAGTAGTCGCGGGAAGTGGATTTGTCAGTTTCTGGTCGTAGTTACAAGCTTTATCATTTGTTTATCGTACTGTCGACGTCGTTGAACTCGTTATACATTAAATAAAATGGAAGTAGTGAGTTTGGTTTAAAATATACCAGTATAATACTTGTGTTTTCTATTCATAATTATAAATTATAAATTCTTTCTTTGAAATTATTAGTTACAAGTAAATATAAAATAAATTTATGAATAGATACTTTGCTTAAAAATGAATTATTCTATTAAAAAATAATAATGTAAGATTATGAGATGGAATTATGAATAAAATAAAACATAAGGGGACTTATAATTTGATATTTTTCCTACCGAGAGACGTGCTATTATTATTAATTAACCCTTAAGCCTCAAACCCGAAATATCTCGGGCAGGTTTTTAGCGTTACAAAAAACGCGGTCGTTAAAACTGTTTTTGAAATTATTTTTTTTGAATTTTTGGAATGTTTTTTAGGACCATAAATTTTTTCAAAATTTTTTTCCCACGCGAAAAAATTTTATCGCCATTTTAATTAGCCTTTGATAAGGCTCGATTAAAGCTCAATTGTTTTATAATGGGAATTTTTTATCAAATTTATTTCATGGTTCCTAAGTTGTAGTGCACGGATTTTCCTTCGGTAAAGTTATTTAAAGCTAGTTTTTCATGTCAAAAACGACCTCCGCTAGTTTTTTAACTTTTTTAATTAATATATTTTTTTAATATAAATTTAATTAATTAGGGGGGGTCAGAAATCGCAATTAAAATTTTAATTTTTTAAAAATATTTAAAAATATAGGCCTAGCTAATACTCACCCTACTTTAAACCCTCGTCTTCCCGAGACGTCTATGAAAATGCCCCGGGAAATCCAACTCCAGCTGTGTTCAAGGTCATCCAGATGTGTAAACAATGACTCATTGGTGTTATTTCTCAAAAAGGCGAGACAAAGGAAAATAAAATTTGAAGGGTTTTCTTTAAAATTAACGCATTTCTTTCGTTTTTTTTTTCAGTTTTAAGTATTTTTTACGTTTAATTAAATTAATATCAAAAATTGGTAAAGTCCCAAGGGGTTAATAATTGAACGTGTAATATGTATATACCAGCACCTCACTGATAACTAGAAAGGCTTAAGTTTAAAATTTAAGCTTTCTAAACCCAGTAGTTTCTCTCCACAAACGTCCGCAGTGCCGGATAAAGAAAAATGACAAAAAAATATAGATTTTTGCGCTTTTCGATTGCTTATATTTCAGCGACATCTTGATACAAAAACTTGAAATTTTGCACACTACTCATAGAAAATAATTTTCCTTCGAGCGACAAGAGATATTCGAAATTACCATAGGTGTTTAGGGGCGGAAAAATCGACTCCCGAAACTCTGATTCCTGTATATGTAGTCAGTTAATGACTTTTTTTTTATCAATACTTGTCGAGAAATCACTACCATGACTCCTAGATATAAGACAGTATACCGTGATATGAGACACTAGATTATTAAATCAAATTTTATCCGTTATTATTAAATACACATCGTTCTCAATGTATGTCATACTTAAGTTCATAAAACGTTCATATCTCTGACATAATATATTATGTCAGAGATACGGTACATTGCCTACTAACTAAAAACAATTTGTGTGCAAGAATCTAGTATACAGTACATCATACTTTTTCTTTAAGTGGGTATAAGTATGGTTTACNTGTATGTCATACTTAAGTTCATAAAACGTTCATATCTCTGACATAATATATTATGTCAGAGATACGGTACATTGCCTACTAACTAAAAACAATTTGTGTGCAAGTATCTAGTATACAATACATCATACTTTTTCTTTAAGTGGGTATAAGTATGGTTTACTCTAAATGAATTTACAGTGCAGACGTGACGTGAAAGAGTAATGAGTACTTTCAGTTTGTTTTAAGTTATGGCAACGCAATACTTGGGCGATCTGCCTAGGGGATGCCTTCGGCAAAAACTTTCTATAGAAAATTCTTCTATGTAACTTACACACACGAAAAAAAAACCCGGAAACTTTAGACATTGATTCGGGTCCAAAAACCAAATCCAACCACTACTGTTCGGTAGATTTATCATTTCGGCCATTGATGCGCACCAATCACGATCATGACAACATACAGTAGAAGAAGCATCCATGAAAAACATTTGCATGTATTCAGTCAGGACAGGTCCGTGCGTAGGGTTTATTAAATGAACGACAGTTTGAAAACACATTATTTTTCTTAACATACTTTATTTATTTTTACAATCTAGACATAGAGAAACACAATACAGTAGATTAAGAATAAACCGAACGGATACAGAATAAATACTGTTAGTTATATATAATATAATGTTTAATTTTATTTTCTAAGGCTTGAAAAATGAAACGTTCAAACCGATTTAATTTTCTACAATAATTAGTGTTGAAATCAAGTAAAATGTTTACAATATTCCGTAAATGGTAATTATTAGCGATTATTTTTGCAACAAAGTGGAATTTTTAGATAAATTTAAAATGTGCGCAACGAAAGAAATGCACTTGTCATCTCCACCTTTCAAAATGTCCCGAATTTGCATCAGAACGTTGAAGGCAGAATAGAGCGAACTGTATACCTATTAACGATAATAACAACAATTAATTTGTTTCTATTTTTTTGACGTTTTAAATATTCACAGCTGTAAATTATTCGCTACAGAACTCGAATTTATACTCTAAGTATGTGTCTTATATTTGATAAACTTCCATATACCTTTACCGGACATCCTTTCGACACAACGAAAAAACCACCGCAACTAAATCCCAGTTCGTTTTCTCGAAATTTTTTCATGAAATCCAACATCTAAATAAATATAAATTTTAATAATTAAAAGAAATACGATTATACAAGTACAGTTTAGTGTATTTTCAATAATTACAAATCAAACTTACTTTTATTTTGTCTTCTACCGCCAAACGAGCGGAAGCGAAAATCCTTATTTCTTGAAAAGAATCATAAGCCTAAATAAAATCATAAAATAAAAAAATCTCATTGAAAATATAAAATCGATACAAAGTCTTATTCTGCTCAACAGAACTTACGGTTGACGAAATACGGGGAATAGCAAAAGAAAACAACAACATCAGAAAAACGCAAAAGATGGTGGCGAGACATAATAATAGCCGAAAAATTATATCCAGTTCAACAAAAATAGAATGGTAGATAAATAAGGCTAAGATATAAATTACTACGCCAAATAATACGAAAAATAGCTGCTTCCATTTATTATTTATCTGATTTATAAGATCATAAATCTCTGCATGCTTCGAGATAATTTCGTCCACATCATACTTTGTGCATCTATTTCTGGTTAATTGTAATTGTTTCGCTAACTCTCTGAATCTCTCCAGTATCAGAAGGCCTACTGATAGCGATGCCGATATAATCCATAAATAAAATGCAACTGTGTAAGTACCAGTACTAAACGACAGAGAGCAATAAAGTGCGAGAATATAACTCGCCTCCTTCTCTACTAACCAAGAGAAAAACAGAAAGGAAATCCAAACGTGAGGTATGAAAATTACGAGAAAAGACACACCGAAAAACCCTAACATTACCAATTGATACCGAAACAATTTTTCCTTCTCACCGGTGTAACTCGATATTTTCATATCAAAGCTTATCTTTTTCCTACCCACATGTATGCAAAGAATGCAACCAATATCTATGAAATGAAAGGCTATTTTCAGAAAAGGATGCATTTCGTCACCCGCATATCTTTCAACATCGCTACAGAAAACAACATTCTCTTTAGTTGCAAGATTCTGAAAGAAAAATACAGTTGTTTGAAAAGCCAAGAATATCAGAATGAATTTCCTGTAAAATTCTATTAATTTTGATTGTCTGGCGTTCAACTGGTGACAATCGCAGCGTTTGTAAAAAATATCGCCAAAAACTATAGAGATAGAGAATATGGGATAAAGCATACAGTAAACGCAATTCTCCGCCATATTGCTAACTAGAAGTAATGGAGCTTATTACTTACAGCATTTCTAAATTACTACTCTAATGCTGTTTGCTAGAAACAGCAACGATTTTCCCTTCTCCTTCCGCGTGTATTCGCTTGTATGAGAATGAAAATAAGCGAAATAGTTTACTCATCTATGCGATGTGCAGAATTTTACGATCGGAATGCAATCGATCAATATCAGTTCAATTTGAAATGAGTTTATTTCTGCGAATGAATGCTTTTATACTTATAAATAATGGAATTCGATTCAATTTTTAATAATAGATAAGATGTTATTAAATTGGAGTGGCTTGAATCGATTGAATTAAGGAAATGCAACACTTGGGCGATCTGAAGAGGTGGAGAGCCTCCCTGCAGGACTTTCTTGGAAAAAACTGAACCCTATTTAGCTGTTTTTATGGGAAACTGGACCCTGTATAGGTGTTAAGCACGCGAAGAAAATCCGATTAATTCCACGTAACCGACCCGTTAGTGAGGCGTGACCCGCGACTTGTATCCAGAGATTTATATACTCGTCCACTGAATAACCAAATTAAACAAAACCTTTCTTTGAAATGTCAACAATAAAAAGAATAAAAACTCTGATTTTGTTATTTTATTGATTTTTACTTGTAAAACAATCGCAATCATTTAGTAATAACAACATTGGTAATGAAGAATGTTGATATTTATATACAAGACACTCGAGGTATTTATCGATATTTATACAAGATTTTATATAACTTTGCAAAAGTGTATTAAATCACACGGTTTATTACTTTATATGATTGTGATATTCGAAATATCTTATTATCGTTATATAAATAGAAATTTTATATAATGCATTTAATAATTTCTTAATTACAAGATCTTATTTAATAAAACGTTTCGAAGTGATTATCAAAGAATTTAACTTAAAATAATTACAGTATTTACTCGAACATAAGACGATCTCGCATGTAGGACGAGGTGTGACTTTAAAGATCAAAATAAAGGAAATTAGATTTATTAATATAATTCTAATTTTATTTCGTTTAATCACAAATAAAAGATCAAATCCACGTAAATGCACACATTGTCCCACAAAAATTAGTGGCATTTTACACTTTAAGGAAAAATCTTGTAAATCGACAACATGATTTGTTCACCTAAAGCCGGACAATCGGGATAATTTTTTTTTTCTTGCCAATTTTTACAATTCTTAACAGTCGAATTAACTCTTCGTCGATTACATTTTCTTCCAATTCTGATTTCCAAATAATCATCTGTTTTCACGTGTTGAATGAATTAAAACTTATATCGAGATCTCGTGTAATTTTGGAATTCAATTGAAAAGCTTTGCTTTTCCTATTGCTATTCATCTTTACTCCCGACAATACACATGAACTATTCAAACGATAAAATACTTTTGTTTTTAAACACCAAAAGGTGAGAATCCGCAAAACATCGGGGTGTTCACTTGTCTTTGTAGTAGAAATCTCAGAAAGATTTCTTCTTCGAGATAATAGAAAAAAAAATAACAAAATTTTGCAAAGAACTATTGTAATTTTGTTCTATTTCTACTTTTCCGGCTGTTTTATAAAACAAAGAGAATGTATGGTGTTCGGTCAAAAAATAATCCCCAAAATGTTTACGTTTTTGAACTTAAGACACCTTAAAACGTGAAATACAAGTCGAGTGTAATTTCTCTATGTATGGATGTCAGTGTGTGTGTGTGTGTGTGTATGGCAGGATTATGTTTCCATGTTTGAAGCTTAATAATTCCTGTGCCTTTAGTCGAAAATTTCTGAAATTTTGAAGGAAGGTTTAGTTTTTAGGGGGATTGATGCCGTTAAATTTTGCTGTTTAAAGTTCGAGGGGGTGGGGAGATAATGGCGATCGTGTGTATTTCCAGTAGGGTTGGACTTAATGACGATTTTACTCGTTATTAGCATTTACAATTTTTTGCAAAACTTATCCCTACCTTCAAAATTAAGTGTTTTGTCATTTCATAACAGTTAAAAATATAAAAATATTTTTAAAATAAAATACGATAACAGATGAAACCACCAAAATTTTAAACGTCGCCAGGAAAGTTGAGCAACTCGTTGCTGCTTTATTTAAATTATTTTTCTTAACTTAAATTTTGAATTATATAATTTTAATCATATAAGCATTTTACTAACGTATGATATACCTTATGCAGTTACGTTGAATTGTATTTATTGACAAGACTATGTCTTTTTTATAAAATTGTACTGCCTGCTGGCTTACCAGCTTAGAGATATGAAGTACATGTCAGGAGTTACAATTTGGCACAGAGTATTAAGTGCCCAAATCGTAAGCGCATAAAAAGTTCAGACTCGGGGAACCAAGAAACCAGTCAAAATAAAATTCAAAATGGCGACACTCCCTACAAACAGGCAGTAGTACAAGAAGCACATGCGTTGCTCGTTGGGAAGTTGGAAATGCGAACGTTGCGAAATCGAATTTTGAGAAACGAATCTTCGAAAAAAAACTCATTTACCTGTCCCGTGTTATTTTCTGGTCGCCACGTGTTGACCTTGACTTTGAAATTTGTACCCGAGACATCTGGTTTCAACATCGGAACGTTTTTCTCACAATAGATGGCGCTAGTCGTTATGATTTTATAATTTTATATTACAACAAACTTTCGAAATATAATTGGTTTTTTTTTCTATTTATTAATATACACATGTTATCTGTACAAAATAATAAAATAATTTCGGACGATACAATAGCCACGATTATTTTTTTCAAAAACGGGAAATTTTCGTTAGGCATCGGCAAAAATTCAACTCGGAGCGACACGCAACAGAGAAAAATTTCGAAATTGGATAGGTTAATTTCACCGAATGTGCCACGTGGACGACCTCGTGGTCGTGGCCGAGGCCGGCGAAATTTGAGAGATCGCGCTCGAAACCAGCGATACCAAAGATTTGAGAATGAGAACGAAACCCGCCTTGAGCGTTGAAGTGAGTCTCCGAGATATTCTTTTGCCTCAAATATGCCTTTGCCGTTTTACTTGTTTACAGTAAAATATAAAAACTGTAAAGTAACCGCATTCCAGAATATATAATTCTCATTATTTATATTTTATTAGTATAATTATTTAAAATTACTGAGTTGTATTTACTATAACATTCGATATTCATTCTGAATATTTGGTTCAATAATAAGTTCAGCACTGACTGAGTGAGAAAAAAGTGGCCGATGACGACAACGAATTCACACCCAAAATTTATTTTTCTGTAATTTTTAATAACCGTAAAACAGTAAATATATCGCTATTTAATTATTTTGTATTGTGGAACTTAGGCATGTTTACAGTACTAAATAAAATATGATAAATATGAAAACATTCAATTTATTAAATACAGTAGTTCCTTGGCAAAATTTTATCCTTCGAGTGTTTTTTTTTTGCAAATCTGAAACTAAAAGTAAAAAATAGGCAAAAAAATTCCCTAGAGAAGTCTGTGTTGGTGTCTATTTCGTTTAATATCTCAAGATGAGTTAAAGATTAAGAAACGAAATTTGGCATGGTAGTTTGTATATAAGGGTATATAAGGATGGTGTTAAAGGTCAAGAGGGTGTTCAAACAGATCACACTGTTAATGACTGGAAAACAGTGGCGTACCGTGGGTGTCAGCCGCCCGGGGCGGAGGAAAATTTCGCCCCCCTTTATATAGGTATTTCAGTTTAAAAGACCAAAATTCAGTTTTGTCACAGAACAAGCAATGAAAAATTCGGTGGTAGTGCAGCGACCTGTTTAAAATAGTTCTATCGTACAACAAAAAAATAAAATAAAATAAAAGGTCTACAGAACGATAGCACTATCGTAGGCGCGATGCAAGTATAGATTAGGATGTTTCAAATTTTTACAAGATATTATTATTATTTATTGTGAAATTTTGCCGCCTCCTAAAAGGTAATTTTGCCGCCCCCTAAAAAGTGCCGCCCGGGGCGGGCCGCCCCTGCCGCCCCCACTACGGTACGCCACTGCTGGAAAAAGCCTTAAAAAGTCGTGTTAGAACATGATACACTTTCAATAACTTCAAACTAGCATTGGTTTGTTTTTTTCTTTAAAACAAAACGAATTGTTTTAACTTTACCTTATTACATTTATCATACAAATTAAAATATTCATTCAACATACATTAAATTATAAAAGAGCTTCTTGTCTCGAAAACAATTTTAAAGGAATAAGTCTTTTTTTACTATATTCTCGGTGTTAATTTTTTTTTCTAACTTTCCCTTCTCTCAACCCAACCGGTTTTAATATAGTTTGCTATTAAAATATTTCTCTTAATTCCGAAAATCTACGGACAATTGTTTAATATTATACCTCTATTTTTAAGTGGACACGGTGTATTTTACTTTAAACTAGTGTAGAAATTAAATGTCAAACAAATAGCAAAGTAAGAGATAATAAAAAAAAGCCTTAAAATGACTAGATTTTGTTTTCTACCGTACTGTGAAGGTCGCCGAATTGGTGATACAGTATTTAAATGTCAGGACTTATCGTATGTGGGATGAAGGAAAGTGAGGCAAATAGCTACAGTGACAAACAAACCCGTTTATTTATACTAAATCTTACAATCTAGTGTGTCTTGTCTTCTGGTGGCTCTGGACTGTTCAGTTGTTGGCTCCGTGGCAGTCAGTCGATGCTCGATGGTGTGGGAGGTTGTGATGAAGGGTGATAGCCCGAAGTTCAAACTGGATGGTGTCCACTCGTTGGAGGCAGGGAAAAGTCTGGACAGTTGACTGTAGTTGTTAGCTGGGGAAAGTCTGGATAGTGGTTGATAGTATCAGAGGCTGAGATAAGTCTGGAAGAAGTCTGTGCAGTTAACTTCACTAGGGAAAGCAGGGAAAAGTCTCCCTTTGTCCTCGAGATCTAGGTTTCTAAAAGATTCTCTTCCCCAGATCTCTAGCTTTTGATTGGTCGGTTTCCTGTATTTAAGCTGATAACAGACCGTTCGGGCTACTAAAGGTTTAATTCGACACTGTGTTGTAATCCGATCAAGGGAAATTAATCGAACCTCGAAACTCCTGCTCGTATTTAATTGTTTCGAATCCTTATATCTCTGACACATAATATGAGCGCTGCATCTCTTTTTAAGGTTATCTAAAAGCATTTTTATCCTCTCAATTAATAATTTGATTATTTCCCGATTTTATTTAGGTGTTTGTTTCCAATTTTTAGTATTGTGAGGCCAAACGATACTCGAGTATCGTTTGGCCTCACAGTACAGGTACTTACAACGTATATAGGTCTTGTATTTGGCTAAACTATGGCGGATTTGGTCATAAGCCAACGACAACTAATGACGTGTAATCTGGCAGCGGTAAATGCGAGATTACACGTCATTTCTATGGGCTTTTTACTAACATGCGCTTAGAAGTAAGAATGAATCATCAAGCTGATTGGCTAAATGATTCAGATGTATACAGCTGTGATAATGAAAATGGAGAAGGTCGAAGATATTACCATACCAACCATAGAATTTATTACCTTCACTTTCAAATTTATAATTAAAATATTTGAATTTTCACTAATATACACTGTCGTTTATAAATATGAAGCAAAAAAATTATTTTCTAATAAATTTAGAAAAACTAAAATGTTTTATTTGCATAGAGTTTTGAGAAATAAAGTTTAACAATAGAGTAGTGTCAGTCATCTATTAACTACATGTTAATGAGGGGAGTTTTGAATTGATAAAACGTGACTTCCGCTTTGCGTGGGAAGTTCATATACAGTAGAGCCTCCATTATTCGACTAAATTGGGGACTGAGGTTGGTCGGATAACTGAAAAGTCGGATAACCGAAAAGCATGAAAAAATCCATTATTAGTGTAGTATATCCCATGTAATTAGTATATTAGTATATCGCTATTAACCTACTTCGCGTTGAATTTTCTTCCATGTTAAGCCTATCAAATTTTTTTTTAAAAATAATAATCGTCGCTATTGTATCGTTAAAAATTAGAAAATTAAGCCTCGTTTAAATACTGGCTCCCTTTCATGGTCGATCCAGTGTTGCCAGCTAAAACACGTAAAAATAATATTAAAGTAGCCAAGACATAGCCAAATATTGTAGCGCCACATCACTAGCGGACATTTGAAATTTGCCAACTAGGACGGTCGGTTGACCGAGGTGTCGGTTAATCGGGGTCGGATAATCGAGGCTCTACTGTATAGTTAATTGAGGCTTCCTGTCACTAAGGTTGCCATATCTGGTCTCCGATTTTATCTAATTCCGTTTTCGAGGTTAAAACAGACAGACAGAGGACAATGGGAATTTAGAGGTTTACAATTTTTTTTTCAAATTGCAGTCCCCTGAGGTCACGGGTCGACGCGAACTAACGGATTGTAATACAAAATTGTCGCGTTGTAAATAATGAAGATAAAAATAAACAATTCTTAGCCGTCAGAAAAGAAAATATGGCGTGAGATACGAGCGAAAGTTTCAAAGTTGGATTAACACTCGCGGACCAAGTCGAACGGAAGTGTCAAATTGATTAACCGATCAAATTAAGAATTTAGGGGACAGATCCTGTAAAAAGCCAGAAATTCAAGGAGAAAGAATGATGGCTTCTCCCCGGCTCAGTCTGTTTTCCTCCGTGTCCGTTTCCCCCTTGTCTCGGACTTCATTTTCGTTTGGCAGTATTATAAAGATTTTTTCGGTATTTTTAATATTAACTTTATCCAGTTTGATGTTGCGTCAATACTCGAAACCCAACGACCGAGGAATCTCTCCGAAAAGCGAAATAAATGGAAATCTTAAGAATTTGATTTATTTCATGAGATGGACGAAAATGGACAAAAAACATACAGTAGAGTATCGATTATCCGACCCCGATCAACCGTCACATCGGTTAACCGACCGTTCTAGTTGGCAAATTTCAAATGTCCGCTAGTGAAATGGCCCTACAATATTTGGCTATGTCTTGGCTACTTTAATATTATTTTTGTTAAATTTTTGCGTGTTTTAGCTGGCAACACTAGCATTTAAACGAGGCTTAATTTTCTATTTATAAGTGGTTGTTTATTTTGTTAGCAATAAAATAATTTTTAACGATACAAAAGCAACGATTATTATTTTTTAAAAATTTTGTTTGGCTTAACACCGATGAAAATTCAATGCGAAGTAGGTTAATAGCAATATACTAATTACATGGAATATACAGTACTAATATACTATACTAATAATGTATTTTTTCATACTTTTCGGTTATCCGATTTTTTCAGTTATCCGACCAATTCAAGCTCTCAATTGAGTCGGATAATCGATGCTCTACTGTATTTAAAACAGAAAAAAAATTAACTTTATTTCTAATTTTTACGTAATTTTTCAGGTAAGTCTTAGTCCATATTGACCCTAGATGTAAGGGTTTATTTAATATTACTTGGAGAATCGGTTCCAGAAGACATCGTTCGATGGTCGGATACGAATCTTTTAGATTTAAAAAGGCAGCTGCGGTGAGCATTTTGCTTTTCTCGGGAGAATTTAGACATTAATTTAAGCTTTTGTTTTAATCGATCAATTGCAAGAGGGCTTGTTGTGGAAGACGTAGAGAGTGACGAGTCCTCTTGGAGTTCGTCTACTTTCGCGAGGTCTGCCTCTTCGTCCGCGCTCGCGACTCGTCGCCATCGTCTTTCGGAAGGGGGGAAGAATCGGAGGAGAGTGCCGCAGAGGTCGAGGAACCGGGCCTTTGTTGCTGCGGTTCTCTTGGCCTAGGCGGTGATCCTCTTCGATTTTCCCCAACTCGTCCTTTGCATACGGATGTGACATTTTAACCGGATTCGACTCTTTTCACCGGGACATGACCCTCTTTACTCGGACGTGGCCTTCTCTTACCCGGATGTTCTCACGGACTTGTCTCCCCAACGTGACACTGGATCGACAACTGATTTGACTTCCGATTGTCCACTCGGACTTGACAGGTTTCTTCACCGAACGCGACATTCGGCCGACTTTTCTTCCCAAACAGCTGTTACGAGGATTGAGCTTTCCGTTAAGGTTAGGTTAAATTAGGCTAGGCTAGGTCAGGTCCTTCGCTCTCCTCATGGCACTGTTCGGGAAGAAAGACTATCTGATAAAGGTAATAATGTTGACCTTAGATAATAAATGAATCAACTTCTCCTTTTCTCACTGTCTTTGTGTTTTGTAGGAACATGTGGGAAAGAAATATTTCTCCCTCCCCAACTTTACCACGAAGAGGACGATGCGGCCATTTATTGTACAAGTGAATGTTTTCCGAAACCTCCGATGGTAAGAACTCTTTCGTTTCATTTTTTAATACATCTTATTTTCGTATCGTAATTTACTGTTTTTCTGTTTATAGACATGCCGAAGATCTTCTTCGATCACATACACACACACGCGCGTGCGCATGGACATAACATTACTGTGCACGAAGATATACACCGTTTAACCTTTACTCGAATTCCCGCACTCACGCACTTATACTTCAAGCGTCTGGTTCTGTGTAATTCGGCACAACGAAACAATCCGAACACTCGCTTCCTACAAATCCAACCCCTGGGTCCTCGTCCCGGGAAGTGGAAACGCCAATTTTAAAGATTAAAACGCTTTAAATTAGCGGCCGAAGGGGCTCTAGAAATCACACATCTTGTATGGATTAAATGGAATTTCACACATTAGCATCAATAATCGTTTTATGATGAATTTTTTTTTTTTTTTTTTGTTAAATCTCTGGTAATTTTGTACGGTAAGAAATTATCTGCGCACAAATCTCTCTCGTATTTTAGTACAGTATTGCTAACTCTTACCTGAGATCATTATTATTTTCGTGCTCATTGTATATTTCATCACACTTGCAATATGGCAGTTGGTGATTTTTTGTTTTGTTTTGTTTATGGAGGGCACTAAGAGAGGGCTGTTTTAATCTTACCCATCCTTGGTTTCTGAAGATCCACAATGTGGGCTGGTGGACTGTATGAGACGAAACTCGACACATCAGGTAAGATCGCCCTGGGTTCTTCAACGGCCCGAATTCGATCTCAGAGCGGTAGACTGAAGTCTTAACCGCTCAAACATCCGGCTGTCACCTTTTTATACTAGGTCGTAAAAATATAGCAAGTAGCAACACTTCCATATAAACAATTTCTTATTGTATCGTACAAATTGTGAACTATATCCACCATTGTGGATAACAAAGGCATATTAATACAATTTGAAAGAAATTAAATGATAAAAATCGTTGTGTACTCGGAGTGCAATCTCTAGATTATAAAAATCAAAAGTCTGTACAGTAGACCCCCCTATAACGCGCAGATACGTTCCACGTTATAAGAATTTTACGTTGTAGGAATCCTTAAATACATGAGCCAATAACAGCCCGACACGTGTGAAGTTTACGAACTATGGCTGTTTGAAAGGTTTTCTTTCATAAAATTAACCGATTCTAGACTAATTCGACTCAACATTTCCAAAACACGTATAATTTTTTCGGAATAATCCGTATAAACTATGCTATAAACAAAAAATTGTAGGATTACTTACCGAGTGTGCACCGTTCGACTACGCCATTGCTCAAGCTTGTTTTCGTTGCGGAACATCGCACGAAATGGCGGCCGCGATTTCTGATAACGAATTTTTCGCAGAAAAATAACTTGACCTTTGGAGACATCATTAATATAAATAATTTTTATGGCCGTTGAATAAGAAATGTTTCTTTCACAAGAAATGTATAAAATTATAGTACTGTATTAGACTTACGATAAGTAATTTACGTACTGTACACGCGATAATAAACTCAACTTACTAGCCTAAAATCTCCGTAGCGTGTNATTGTTAGCCTAAACTCTCCGTAGCGTAGCGCTAGACGGTGGAAAATATATATATATATAATTATAATAAAGTTACAATAAATTAAGTTAATATATAATTATATATACAGTATCTAATTTATATATAATACTGTACAGACGATAGCTAACTCAATTTAGCCGTCTAAACTCTCCGTAGCGTGGCGCAGGGTGGCGGAAAGTAGTTCGGCTGCTCGTCCACTATTGGACCAAATTCGACCAATCTTGTCGCGACAGGAGTCGGCGACGACGTTTTACGAGTCACTTTATACGAATACTGCTACAATTTTTTCGCTACGTTATAGGAATTTCCGTTATAGGAACCCATGTTATATGGGGGTCGACTGTATGTTTGTTTAAGAAATATTAATCAAATAATTGGATAAAACGACCCAGCTTTTAAAAAAAATAATAATTATTACAGTGAAATTTGATGTATGCGATTAGAAAATTTATTTTTTGTATTCTCACTTATCATGCCACCTTATTTTGTGGGAGCTCTAGTCAAATGTAAACAATACGCTATGAATCCAGAATAACGCGTGTCGATATGTTTTAGACTTTATATTAAACGATGGATTGTATTGCTCTGTGTTCCAGTGCAAATATAAACAGGATTATAATCAAAGTAAATAAGGATTATTAATTATAATCCTTATTTAACATTAATCACAGCAACTTCTTTATCAAAACTTCAAAGGTAACATTCCTACAGACTTAAAATTACATATAAATTTGAGCATAATACTTGTTTCTTTGTAAGACAGTTTCTACCATGTCTATTTAAGCGTAATTAACAAATTTTATTACACAGGACAGGATTTTATAATTCATCATGTTAGTAAAGTTATTTAACAGTTAAATATATACCTTTTATTTTTGGACATTTGATGAGCTGCTTCTGTTAAGATTAAGTAAATACCTATTTAATCTTTACTAAACCATCAGAATTATAAAGCGATTATTACTAGCTTATTATAAAAATTAATGATTTTAACACCGTAAAGGCTTTAAATTCGCAAGAATTTTTTATTATTTAAGTAAATGATTTACTGTTTATAATTTTGCAACAGGATGTTTTTTTAAAAATAAAGAGTAACATCGAAATAAAAGAATTCAATTTTCTCATTCTTAGAAATCTTTTTTTCGGCAATAAGAAAAGAATGAGCATCGGGGAGAATGCGAATATCCATTTGTTTATCATCATCATTCTCCAATACTTTTGATGACAAGAGATATTTCGAGTTCTTTTTTAGAAAATGTGGTTGAAATAAATATGCATTCCCCTCATTATTACATTCCAACGTATATAATCCCATAGATTGTTTACTTGCGTGTTCACAAATATATAAATCTATGGATATTATTTTATTTTCGCTGAAATGTATTGGTAACGAAATATCTGTAAGGAAACAATCCTCCATTACAAGTATGTGGCAAACGATCTCTACGTTATCGGCGAGAGATATTTCTTTTCCTATTGGAAAATTACATTTAAAATTATATTTAAAGAAAGATGTATTAATTTCGTCGTGTCTTTCCTTCTTATTAGTACAAAGAGTTTCAGGAAAATTGGATAAATCTGCATTAGGATAATCTTTGCTGGTGAAGAAATCGCGAATCGCTTGCATTTCGTGTTCTGTTAACAGAAGCTCTAACATATCGAATAGATTCTCCATATCGATTTTCTCAATTGCCAACAATCTAAGTTTCGGAAGGAATGGTCGTATGAGTTCTTTCCTTCTTTTTCGAATGGTGTTTTTATCTGTCACCAAGTGTTCCTCTGTTAAAATTCTTGCGTTAATCCAATCGTCAACTGCATCAAACAAACTTAATTCGTCTAACGTTTCGTATATAGGACGAGAGATTAATCTGGTTATTGTTGTGTCTTTGCAGCAAAGAAAATCGTCTGTCTGGAATATTTCTTCCCAAAATTCATCGAATACCACCCAACAGGTGAATTGCATGTTGTAATCATTTTGTTCACAAGCGAAATCGTGAACGGGACAAACAGTACTTGGATATAATGATATTATTTCTTCTATAAACTCTGTACATAACTGTTGAAGATTCTTTATGCCATATTCTTTGCCGAAGATATACAATTCGAATCCGTCTTCTATACATGATATATCGGGAATTTCATCTTTTATAAATCTATAAAAACCATATAAAATAAATTTAAAGAAATTCCCATCAGATTATTTATATAAAATATAAATTTTTCAAACATCCAGTATGATTATTAAATAATTATTCTTATAATACACCAAAAGCATACGTTATTTTAAAACACACATTAAGTGATATTGCTGTTAATGCGCTAGCAACTAACATTTAAAAGTGTATAATTATACTTATGCCACTGCTAAAGCCATTATTGTTCGATTAACAGGGAAAAAGATGGTGTAATTTTCATGAATTGGAAACTCTTTGATAAATGCGTTCAATGTATCACTGGAATTAAGCAGTTTTGATAACGAAACTGTGAATTGTTCGTTTTCTAGAGAATAAAGAAGGACGGGATCCATTCCTTCCATTGACTTGAAAAAAAAAGGATTACAATTTAATTGGAAGAAGATATATTGTTGATTGGATTGTAAACAAATAATTAATTTTGACAATTTTTACGTCAAACAATTCGAGTCATTTTTTTTTTAAATCATGTTCTATAGTACAGTAGACCCTCCTATAACACTGTTGATAATTCCGTATTTTATGAATTCCATGTTGTACGAATCACTTAGATTTTACAAACACGTGTGCCGGGCTGTGAATGGCTCACGTATTTGTAAAATCTAAGTGACTCGTACAACATGGAATTCATAAAATACGGAATTATCAACAGTGTTATAGGAGGGTCTACTGCAGTATGATCCGGTTAGTTCTAAAATGTTTTATGTAATTGTGCCATTATTTTATATCTTACTAATTTAAATTTCTTTTTTCTTTTTTTTGATAGAACAGGATTTGAAAGTTAAAATACGAAACAACGTGAAGGTATTTAGATTGCTGATACGTAGAGTCTGGGATCAGGACAGACTCCCCATATCAGCAACTTATTGGCATTGAGACCGTTACAACAAACCATTTATTTGGCACAAAAGAGCTTAGAAGATTTCAGCCATCTTAGAAATTATAAACTCTCCTTTCCAGAATACTGTAGTCTGAAATGAAGGAGTGTCCTGAAAGTTCCTCCGACGTCTCGATCGACTTCCATAAATACAATAAATAGTCCAACACTTGGAATATCTGTCGAGTCCTTGAAATTCGGGTTTTAATTATTTTCCGTTCCCGATCGCCGATTCCGTTTTGTTACTTTTTCTCGTTCTCGCTTTCTAAGTTAACGCTCACTCGGTTCTGTGTAACGAGATCCCATTCTGAAATGGTCGATCTTAGGTTTGGTTTTATTCGATTAAGGCAACGCGACACGTGGGCGATCTGCCGAGAGAAAATACCTCACGGAAGGTCTTTTATGGGAAAATGGCCGGTATTCGGGTGAAGAAAACCCGTTAGCGAGGCGCAAACCCACGACCAAAAAGATTTCAACGCGAATTTTAGTGAAGGAGTCCGGAGCATCCCACTGGTCTCGTTTGATAGGATAACGAAATGCAAAACGTGAGCGATCTGCCAAAAGAAGATTCCTACCGGGAGGACTTTTCAATAAAAAAAATTAGCCCCCGTACAAGTGAAAACCCCCAAAAAACTCCACGTTGCTGGGCCATCGCCGAGGCATGAACCCACGACCGATTTCCAATAGTTTTATCCATTAGAACGTTGATTGCCCACTACTGATTTGGTAGCGACGTTTTTTAATGCGTGTAACATTCGAATTATACTGTACTTTATTACTGACATTGATGTTTATAACTGTAATTCTAATGATAAATGTTTTTGCGAGTACGTTTACAAATATTTAGATTGTGTGATAATGCATAATTGTAAATTAATAAAATAATAAATACTTATTGTTTTATTTATTAATTCTTTCTATTAGATAAATGCTATGGCATCATTTCGCTAAAAAAATAAATACCGCTTTCTAGGTGGTGACAAAATATTCGTTTAAATTATTAATTAAAGCTATTTTCTGAAAGTATAGAGCACGTTGTGTGCGATACGCATAAAATTTCGGTGTGAAATGACCTTTATATGTGAATTTATCAATGTACGTTTCTAAGAAATTTCTTTAGATGCTAATTAAAAAGTATTTTTCGTACTTTAAATATTACCAACAGTAAAATTCGTTTCGGAGTCGCCGGAGTAGAAAGGAACTTTATTGACTCCGACTCCACAACACTGGTTTTAGAAGGTTACAGACACTGGAGTTAAGTGTATTTCTCACTCTGCCTATAAATTTGTAATTATAGGGCCTATAATTCGTTGCGTCGTGCTTATTTCTATTTGTATCGCCGTTAATTACTAGAATTAGGTCCGCGGTAGCTTTATTGTAATTAATTCTAAATGTCGGTGTGGTAGTCGAATATTGTCTCACTGAAAGTGGCTGATAGCTTGGGTCTCGCCAGAACCTTTGTACGCTTTGGCATATTTAATTAAACTACAATTTTTTTTGCTTTTTCTTAATGTAAATCTTTGTGTCACAATTTGTTTTCGCGGCCCCATCAAAACACTCATAAGCTTTATAATCTCACACCGGTGTAATCAAGGAATATCTGTCAAGACATATCGAGATGGACCCTTATCGATTCAGATTTCAAACGATACCAAATAAATTTATTTATTTATTTACTTTCTTTGAATGAATTTGTAATTTATGCGACACATTTAATAAATCAATATTTGTTCTCCCATTATAGAATATTTAGTTTTCAAACGAAAATTTTATAAGGAATTTTGATTAATGTACCAAATATGGTTTATACGAGTTGATTTTAAAAATAAAGAATAACTTCGAAATAAACGTTGTTAGCATCTTTTTCGTTATTCTCTTTCTTTGATTTATCCGACTTCTCTTCTTTAGTTATAAAGTAATGTGCATTAGAAGAAATGCGAATATCCATTTCTTCGTTTTCCGAAAACTTTGATGACAGGTGATACACCGAATTCTTTTTTAGAAAATGCGGTAGTAATAAAGTCGCTTCTCCAATATCATTGCATTCCAGGTGATACGATTGTACAGAATTTTCATCTCCATTTTTACTGACGTTCAAATCCACAGTTACTGTTTTAGTATGGCTGAATTGCACGGGTAATGAAATATCAGTCAGGAAACAATCCTCCTTTACAAAGATATCGCAAGCGAACTGTGTATTTCTGGTGACAGAAATTTCTTTTCCTATCGGAGATTTGCTTTTATTATTATATTCAAACAAAGAGTCGTACGTCTCCATATTTCTTTGTAGCGTATTATTACAAAGAGTTTCGGGAAAATCGGATAAATCTGCATTAGGATAATCCTGGCTGGAGAAGAAATCACGAATCGCTTGCATTTCGTGTTCTGTTAATAGAAGCGCTAACATATCAAACATATTCTGCATATCGACTTTCGCAATTGCCAACAATCTGAGTTTCGGTAGAAATGGTCTCATGAGTTCTTTTCTTCGTTGTCGAATAGTGTTTTTATCTGTCACCAAGTGTTCCTCTGTTGTAATTTTCGCGTTAATCCAATCGTCAACGGCATCAAACAAACTTAATTCGTCCAAAGTATCGTATATAGGACGTGAGACTAATCTCGTGATTGTTGATTCTTTACAGTTAAGAAAATCCTCCATCTCAAATATACCTTCCCAGTATTCATCGAAGAATTCCCAGCAAATAAATTGTAGATGATAATTATTTTGTTCGCAAGCAAAATCATGAACGGAACAAACATTATCTATATCTAACTTTTCATCCATATCACGTAGACATAACTGTTGAATATTCGTCATGCCATATTCTTTGCCAAATATATACAGTTCGATTCCGTCCTGTATAAATGATATTTCTGTATCTTTATTTTTCATACATCTATAAAAACCATAAGAAATAAAGAAAGTGAAATTTCCATCGGTATATTTATATGAAATATAATTTTATAAAGCATTAAGATACACAGAAAACATATATAAGTAATGCATCATTCTAAAACACGCATTAAGTGGATATTTAAAACTTACGAGACGGCCATGGACATTATTGTATGACGTACAGGGAAAAAAATGGTGTAATCTTTAGAAATTGGAAACTCTTTGATAAATGCATTTAATGCATCGCTAGAATTAAGCAGTTCCGATAAAGAAACTGTTAATTTTTCGTTTTCTAAAGAATAAAGAAGAACGGAATCCATTTTTATTTCCACTAAGCTAAGAAAGACGACAACTTGATTGGAAGGTGTATTGTTGTTGATTGGATTGTAAGCAAATAATCAATTTTGACAATTTTTACGTAATTTCAATAATCTAATCTTACCTTCATTTCAAAATGGAAGCTATTCAGACATAATTTAAGCAAATAAAAGAAGCGAGATCATTCTCGATGCCACAAACACTTAAATGTAATTTTGTTTTACCAGTATAATTAAGGGATCGTAGTTATTCTCAAGCAACCGTAAACAACAAAATATCCACCCACATCTTCCAATCCCCGTGGATGCCGGTTTTAATACCTTCTGTACTTTTTTTGTCGAAAATTTCTGAAATTTTGCAGGGTGGTTTTTAAAATATCATAATAGATGGCGCCACACGTAGTTTTAAATGTTGCCTGGAAAGCTAAGCAACCTGTTGGATTTTTTTAATATGTAAGCATACATATATAAACTCTAAAATTAGAATGGCAAATTTGTTTGATATTCAATTACATTTTTACATGATTATTTAGTTTTATATTATCTATCAATAGCAACGAGTTGCTATTGATAGATTTTTTTAAAATAATAAACAGTTACATTTCTTGAAACGAACGATCTTTTTCTCAGTTTGAATATAGAAAGATCTATATTTGATTATTTCGTGTAAAATACATACACGATATTTTCTATCGGTCGGGTGAATTCATAAAATTTGCTTATTTAATATACTAATTAACGTTTACGTAACTAAACTATAACACGCATATTTAATATAACCGATGACGTCAGGTAAGCGCTCTTAAAATGGCGTCGGATAAACGAAANATTTGGTCTTAATCATATACATTATTTGCTTCTTCCCTACTAAAAACTGAAAACAAGCTATTTAAAAATTACAATTGAGTCATGTGCAAATTTAAAATATAAGTTTCTTCTTACAAACTGATATCATTTCCGAAAAATAACACTATTAATTGTAAAAAAAAGGGTGAGGAAAATACCTGTCTATAAAATTTTTGATTAAAATTGGTGAATGTTCTTCCAAGAATGCATTTTTTAATATTTGATTAATTCTTCTATTATATATTATTATTAATTTTTTTATAAGTAAAAATTTAATTTCGTAAAAAACAAGGATAATGGATATTTTTGAATTTTATTAAGTTGCATACAAAACATAATAATGAAAATTAAAATGAAATGTTAATGAATTTAGTTTCTATTTCTTTTGTTTCTTTTTCTCGGCTTCTTCCTCTTTTTCTTTCTCGATCTCTGCAACGTATCTTTCGATTTCTTGTG